ATTAAAAAAAAAAAAGGAATATCTACACATTTTCCGCTTAGCAAATTCTTGTAATATGAATTTCGACAAAGAGACATGTTGTCCTATTGAAGGAAAACGAGCAAGTTACTTAAAGCTTCCATTAATTTTACACACCAGCAACACATACACCTGTAAATACAGCGAGGGCATGGATTGCTTCTAGCAAATGACAAGAAGTGACCTAACTAACCAAACATTTCTCTAGCCTGAACTGACTAATTTCATTTTTGGCGCAGCGGTCTCGACCAAGAAGCCTAAAATTCAGCACAAAGATGCACTTGTGAAACAACGCAAATAAGCCATCAATCTACTATGTTTACCACTGCACAAAATTTGGCAAGATAAGGACCAGAAAGAAGCAACCTAGCTTTTTTTCCGAATTACTTTTTTTTTTTTGTATACAAGGAGGGTTAGAGGGATTAAACCCACTTCAAATATATTGCAAAAATCAGTTTCACCTGCTTCGATACTGTGATTTAAGACATAGGTTTAGCTGGATACAGAAAGATACAGCAAGACAAAGGTTGACCGGTGCCCACAAAGAAGTCACCCATGAAAGGAACTGGAAATGATGAAGCTAGGAATAAGTCCGAATTTTGAGACCACCTTACTTACACTGTTATGTTCACCATTGCACGAAAGAGGAGCTCCACAATCTTTCGGAATGATGAAGATGTCAGAGGTTTGCCAGAGATGATCGTATCATGGAGAGCTCCAAGCTTGGGGAAAATGAAGGTGTTCCCATCGTCGTCTGAACACGAAGGCCTAAAAATAGTGCAATTATTTTATAAGAAAATGATTATTAAAAAAAAAAAAGAAAAAAAATGTTGCTATGTAGAAGCATATAAAAAAAAACAAAAAAACAGAAATACAATAAATATGTTATAGGCGTCTCACATGCTTTTTCTCAACCTCATTTTAAAGCGATAGCTGTTATGGGCTCTTCACCCCCCTTTGAAATGATGGTGTAGAGAAACCGTCGTCGATATTGATGAATGCTCTAAAACATTTGTTACACTTTGCCGCTGCCAGGGATCGAACTATGGGCCTACTGTGTGTGAGCCAAGTGCTTTACCACCTGAGCTATCAGCTCTGTTCCCTGAATAAACTGCATGTGGTGAGGACACATGCGTGTATCAGTCTTGTGAAGCGCCCGTGTTCCTCCCAGGCACTTAGCCAGGGTCTTGTTTCGGAAGAGGGAGGGAGGGAGGGAGGGAGGGAGGGAGAGGGAGGGGGAGGGGGGGGGGGGCAGAGGCCAAATGCTGTATGAGGGGGAGGAGGGAGAGGAGGCCCCAGCAAAATGGAAGATATTGGGGGGGGGGGGGGGGGGGAGGGGGCCGGGCCCCATGGGCCCCCCTGGATACGTGCCTGGTTCCTCCATTGCCCAGGGAACGCAGCAGAACACAATGGTCCATGTACGTGAGATGCGTCAAAGAAGTAGATGAAACAAAACGGCACCGCGCAGGTAAAGCTACTAGCCGACATGTGATCCAAGCAAACAATAAATAAAAAGACGCGAACCAAAATGGCTAGATGTCACCACCCTAAGCAAAGCGCACATGTACGGTAGGCACCCGGTGAGACGCTAGTGCAGCTGGTATGAGCGTTTCCATTGATGCCACTTTGTCCGCCGTTCTATAGTGACAGCGGAATAGAAGCATTTCGAGGCTGCCTTGTATCACAACATAGCCTCTATAGTCGCAACCATTAAAACACACTTACAGCTCAAAGGGCTCGATGCCTACCAATGGTACATCTGGAGAGGAGTCATCTGGAGAAGTTTCATCTGGCAAGCTCTCTCTTTGGGCGGTTTCACAGTTTTCAGTGCGCACCGTCTCCAATGAAGCCTCCTCCTAAAACGAAAGGAAATCCCTGCAGTGTAAAGTTACTGGATTTGTGTTAAGGACCCCAGCAGGCTGTTTTAATGATATAACGGTTTGTACTTTACATGCTATAAGTAAGGTTTGGTGTATTTATTACTAATAAATGCCGCTAGATGCTCGCCGTTTCAGGAATTCAGTATAAATCGTAATGTACAAAATTTTCATATGCACACATGAAAGAATAAAAAACGCAGTGGACAAGAACAAACCAAGATATCTTTCCAGAGGTCCTATTTCGGCCCTGTCCACCTTCCGTTTCTTATCCTTTCGTGTGTGGATATGAACCTTCACCAATACGCTCGTCTTCAATAATACAGAAATTCGGCACCGTATTCTTGGTTCGTGGCTCATAATCTGAGCCCGAATTTGAAGCTTAAGCTCTTCGGTAGATGCAAACATGCACAGCATGCAATTTCACATAGTGTCAAACAGAGATGCTGTTCAGTGCTAAGAATAATATGCGGAGTACAGTGCAACACCGTCCAGTAGAGCATGCAAGCCATATCACTTTGAAAAAGACATGGCCCTGACTGGCCCCCTCCTTCTAATGCAACACTCAAACTGCTCTGGTATCCAGTACTAACACGAAACAAAGTTTATCTAACGAGGACCTCGATACATACATTAGCAAGCGATATAAGCAGGAAAGCATGAGTGACGACCAGGCTGTGGCCAGTCACTTGCTGCGGCTATGTGGTCTGCGCAGCCCGGTCACCGCTTGCATATTCCAGCTCACACCACCAGCAACTGTACTTGCATATACAATACGAGCACATAGCCCCAAATCCTCAGTTTTGCTGGGACCTCCTCTCCCTGCCCGCTCCCCCTCCCCCATCTATGCCATTTTGACATGGGCGGTCCCCCCCCTCGACAAAACCCTATGTGCCCGATACAATACTCTATATATAGGGTGGTCCAAGTCACCAGGATCGATCTAAAATGGACCATAAAAACAGGCGCCTGCACGTAGCAATCTAAACCTTTCGTCAAAGATCTATTTCACGGGTCAATTTTTTTTTGTAAAATTACAAAAAATAGGACCAAGAAAATTGCCAGGGTTAACGGCAGGCAACGACCCAGACGACCAAGCCCAGTAGCAGGGCGTGTTTGGCGATCGTATTCATAGATGGCATCGGGAGCAGCGTCCGACGGTGCAGCCGACCAGCTAAAGCTAGCAGACGACACGTTGGCAGCAAAAGCGCTGTCGTTATGCAGACACATTTTTTTTTACTTTAAGTTCTGCTTTTATTGCCCGCATTTATTTTTTAACCGAAGGTACATTTGAAAAAGATTATCTTCATTTTATAAAACCTTGGTCGCAAGCCGTCGCAGTAAGGAGGTAGCCCATCAATCTATACGAACGCCAAACACACCTTGCTACTAGACCCCTGTCGTCTGCGTCACTGTCCGCCGTAGACCCTGGCAAGTTTCTTGGCCTTATTTTTTACAGAAAGAGAGCTACGCTTTCTAATTTTACAAAAGGAAAGCGACATGTGAAATACACCTCTGACAAAAAGTCTAGATTGCTACGTGCAGGTGTCGATTTCTATGATCCATTTTATATCGATCCTGGTGACTTGGACCACCCTATACTTTGGTCTACGTGCTTGAGTGCAGGCGAACAATCACACTGAACTTCTCATCAGTTCCCTTATCTCTCAAGGTGCTTCTTTACAAAACGCTCGTGCGCTCTAAGCTGGAATATGCCTCTTGAATTGGGAACCCTGGCATTAACGTGTTGATATTGGCTTTTGAAGCAATTCAGAACAGATCTGTTTGTTTCATCCTTGCTAATTATCACTGCACTGCCAGTGTAACATCAATGAAAATAAGTTTGAACCTACCTAACCTTGCATTACGTGGAAATCTTAACAGTGTGTCTGTTCCACAAAATTTATTACTATAATCCTCTGCTATGTGACAAGTTACTGACACCTCTTTACATATCATAATTTCTTGACCATCCACAGATGGGCATTCCTCAATGTAACACTACAACTTTTTATAATTTATTTATACCTCAGACGACGGTCTTATGGAATCACCTTCCAGCATCTGTGGCATCCATATCCGATTCCATCGCTTCTAAACGATGCCTTAACAGTGTTAACTTTTAGCATTTCATTATTATGTATTTTTTTCATTCTTAAGATTGTCGTTTGTTTGCTTTTGATTGTTGTTTGTTTGCTTTTGATGTCTCCTTGTAACACACTCCCCTCTGCAATGTCCTCAGGCCCTGAGTAGGGTGACCATATTCCTCAAGGTAGAAAACGAGACATCCCAGCGGTAAAGGGGGGGGGGGGGGGGGGGGGTACTAAAGTTTGAGAAAAAATGTAATTAAATTCTACATGCGTGCTATTCCTACATGATTCTACATCCGTGCTATATCCAGTAACTAAAAAAAAAATATTTCTACCGTCCTCGCGAAAGAAAAAGTGTTTGTGGGCAAGAACAGTCCTAAATTTTACTCTCTGGGTAAATATTGTAAAGTACCTACGGTTAGTTTTGTAAAATATACTTGCAACGAATAGGCATAGTTGCAGTTTGCTTCTACTCGCTTGGTGCCAATTTTGAAACTATGTACTTCTGCGAAAACGGGACATGATTCTATATTGGGATAAAAAGACGGGACGGCAGAAATGGACCTGAAAAACGGGACTGTCCCGGCCAAAACGGGACGTCTGGTCACCCTAGCCCTGAGGGTCTGAAGATGAAGATGCTCAGGAGCATCTTCAACTTCCTTCATCAGTAAACAGAAGTCCGCCATTAGTGTAGCACATATGGCGTTTTCAGATGATGATGATAGTGATCAAAGTGGCCAGACTGAATTCCGGAAAGGGTCTATTGTAGTTTTAAAGGTGGCCATTAATAAAAGCCAACCCAATTGACACGGTTCCCGAAAAAGCAACAGGCTTTGAGATATTCATCTGTTAATTTTTCCTTTTTTTGCTTAACCCTTTAAGCGCCAGCCAGTTTTCGAAAAAATGTACCCAAAATTCAAATTTTTTTTATAGCACACTTTGATAGAAGAATTCTTCCTTATTTCAAGCATGTAAGACATGGGTATAAAAGCTTAACAACTGAAAACCAAAATTGATCCAATCTTAGGCCATGTGCCCTTACAAAAAATTTTAATGAATTTCATTTGACAGTTTATGGAGTCTACTCATTACATCTTTTCGAGTCTCAATAGAAATGCAAACGAGTTTTGTAACGAGTCCGTAAGGAGTTTACGAAAACTATTGGCCACCGCGTTCCAATTGATGTTTCGACAAAGCTACCGCATAAAGTTTCCAATGTATTTCATATGAATATAATTTGAAAGTCTATTGACACCGTTTCGAGTCTGTGTTGAAAAACAATTGATTTTTTGTAACGAGTCCCTAAGGAGTTTACGAAAACTATTGGCCACCGCGTTTCAATTACGGTTTTGCCGTGCCACCTCATAAGAATTTCTAATAGATCTCATTTGAAAGTCTAGATACACTGCTTTGAGTCTCTGTTGAAAATCAAATGTTTTTTTCTACCACGTTGTACTTGAGGTTTTGACGTGCCATCTCGTTAGGTATATTCCGACGAGTCCGAATATACCAAATGAGATGGCCCATCAAAACCTGAATTGCAACGCAGTAGAAATTAACATTTGATTTTCAACAGAGACTCAAAGCAGTGTATCTAGACTTTCAAATGAAATGTATTAGAAATTATACTCCTAGCGTGGGTTTCTAGATAGACGGCTCTAAGGGGAAAGACGGCAATAGGTTGCATAACATGTGGTCCGGATCTAACGGTTGTTTTGAGGGAAGGGGAAAGTGAGTGCAAGTGTCACTTTTATGTATGCCTATATACGCATGCAGTGTTCGAAAAATGCCTGCATAAAACCGTGTGAAGGAGTAATAACTGGTTTATTAAAAATGCAAAATTCGAGTATACGGTACACTGCTTTCGTGTCCATGGGGGACCTTGTACTGCCATTGTGTCCATGGGAGACCTTGTACTGCCTTCATGTCCATGGGAGACCTTGTACTGGTAACCTATAAAGAAAAAAGATGCACAGTTACACGTTGATCTGCTTATCTAAACTTCAATGTCCGCGCAAGGCATCCTGTTCACAGCGCAGCACTACCTCAGCGCTGAATCAGTATTACAAACCGGGACATCAGTCCTTTAGGAAAGGAGGACCCTCAGAACACACGATACAAGCCATGGAAGTAGCAGTGACTCGTTGCCTTAACAGGACTGAGTTAGCGCTGCACTGTATGTGTGAACCAGCCCTAAATGCAGGTCACATTCACAATTCCTACATTTTTGCTCACCCAGGCACTTAATTTACACACTACCTTGATAGTTTAATGAGTGGCACTAATAACATTGTCAGGGGCACCATAATGCAAAAGTATATTTTGCCCCCGAGTCTGCGAGAATCAATCGCTCACTGTTTTTGCTGCTGCATTGCACTCTTTTATTTCGGCTTTTGAAAAGGTCTACCAAAGATAAGCGAGCAGATGTTATCGCTTATGAAGTTTACCAAATTTGAACATAGAGAAGCTAAGACTTATAGGCATCTCGCAGAATTAACATGGCAATTTGGGCCAACTGATCCATGATCGTAGACAAGCGCCGCAAAAAACACGTGGACAATAAGTGGTGGTAAACACTGGCGCCAGTGTTTTATGTCTACTTGTTGTCCCTGTGTATTTTTATTTAATTTTTTTGTTTGTTTACTATCTTGAACAAGTATTTTTAATCACACTGGACAGGAAGGAAACGGTAATAGGGTTCTATGCGGATCATAAAGCCATGCTCCGAATGGGTGAGTATCAACTGCAGGTTTCACAACAGTGGCGGATCCAGGGGGGGGGGGGACCCCCCTCCCTCCCCCCCCTTCTCGGAGGCAATTGGACATGAGTGGACCCCCCTGAGTGGAACCCCTTGAACAAGAAAGAATGGGAGAATAGTATCGTTAAAAATTTTCCGCCACCCCAAAACAAACAAAGGTCTGGATCCGCCACACTAAGTTTCAATTATTGGGAGGATCGATACATCAGAGGCCGAGTTTAAAAAGCAAACTTACGATACCCGAGAAGAAATCCGTATTAACAAAACAAAATTTGTCGCACCTTTTGAGTGACTTACAACTAAATATTACGACATTATCCAAAATGTCTCACAAACTTTTTAGGGCAAACATGGCCGCACATCACTTGGCTATTTCGCCGCGACCAGCAATGAATATAGAAGCGTGGGCAAGAGGCATGTGTTTTGCGCACTGTTCAGATGCATCCCTACTTGAAGCAGTATAAGGGCAACGCTAAACTACACACGGAGGATTCAGCCGACGAGTCTGCCGAGCTGTCCATCCAGCCCGTTAGAGCTAACCAGGTGCAGGACTGCGATCAACGGCGAGATGCGCCAATGAATCAACGAAAGCAAATGTCACACAAATCTTCAGTGCACGCAAAAGGATCCTTCACCTATGAATGGCGTGAACCTGATTTGGTGATCATTAGCGCCCCCTTGTACTTCAGTAGTGATTTTCAAAGTGGTGAGCGGCTGTACGACCCTACCACACGAAAAGGCACATTCCTGACTGGATGTGCCTTTTTAATGCCAAAGCATTATATGTCCATGGAGCGAAAAATCCGAGTTGTACCAAACGTTAACGGAGGATTAAAGAAAAAATAAAATGTACTTTCACGGCTGAGATTTGAACCCGGTGCTGCTGTGTGAGAGCCGGGCATGCTAGCTGCTGTGCTATCTCAGCTGCTTCGGAATGCGACATTACTCTCCCCTCAAAAAGAAGCTTGTCCCATTACAGCAAAAGATGGCATGTCTTTACCCGTTTTTTGTCCCTGTTTATCTGAGGCTGTTTTTTCATCATGTTTGACGGCATCGGCGTTGATGTGCCCGAAAGATGGTCATAAAAATATGTCCTCGGTTCGATGACATCACACTTCACGTGACGACATGACGTACCATGATGTGTGACGCCGTATTATGTAACGTAATACAAATATTAGAGGGGCACTTAGTTATACATACGTGGATGGAATGCGAAAGCATTGCCATTCCTAACAATAGAGGAAAAAAAAAGGAAGTGTCGTTAGGAATGGCAATGCTTTCGCATTCAATCCACAAAGGGGTACCTAAGTGCCCCTGTAATATTTTGAGTGGAGTAGAGCTCAAATAAACGCCGTACGGTGCAGTATATCCATGATTAAGTTGCTGCTAGTCGTGAGGCTTAATGTTTTGCACCAACAATACCATAGTTTTTCCTCGGTTGCGACGAAGTGCCACTGCGCTACGAACTTGCTAGAAATTTCTGCATATGCGACCACTTTCTCCTGGAAACCTATGGTGACCTGCCACTCACTTTTGGCCAAAGAACAGTGAAAATACCAGATGTGAAAACAGCCATAACAAGCATTAAAGAAATCAAGATGGGGGTCATAGCATTAGCTTCCCAACGTGGCGAGACTAGCACAGGATTTCTGTTACTCGCCGTTTAAGACAGGAGTCGACTTTTTCCGGTCTGATCTTGAAAACAAAGTTTGGTTCCGTTAATTTTGTAGCAGAAAGCCCGTGCTTTCCCGTTTGTGGGGTCATTTTCTCGGTTCAAAATATGATGCAGAGTCCTTCCCATAAAAATGCATGGGTGCCTGCTAGGACTCTTCGAAATGGTTAAATTAACTGAGGTCATTATACTCTGTTGCCACTCTAGAATAGCAGAAGGCCTTCCCACAAAGCCCTTCACTCTTTTTAATAAGCAAACACTAGAGAGGAGGAGAGCCGAGAGGACACCACCAATCATGGCGAGCAAAGGGAATTGTGGGAGGGGCTTGTGCTATTCTATAGTTGCAACGGATTATAACAAAAGTTTACAGTACTATGAAAACAAAAAGACCAAGTATGCACAGAAATTCGCAGGAAGTGTAGCAGGGATAGAATAGAAAAAACTGCAGCTGCAATATTTACCCTTTAAATTTCCCTCGACAGCACAGCAGAGATGACATGCTGGTCGTCAGTGCCTGGAGGGCCACCCCTTGTACTGGGAGCACATGTAGTCTGAAACGAACAACAAACAAAAAATTAAATGCATGAACAATCCGCACATGCTGTTATTTCGCTTCATTGGCCGCTTCAGAGAAAGCAAGCATGCACACCGTTGTCCAACCATGTCAACTGCTAGCCGAAACTTTCTGCCACCAGGATTAAGATATTGCTTGCGCTATAAAAAAAAAACATTTACACACTACCCAGCTGGCGCGCTGAAAGTTCAAACATTGAAGAAACTACAACATAAAACTTCAATGCAAGAGCTACACCTCGTGGACAATACACAAAAGTATGTTCAGTGTAAACCTTGGTGCACTGCAAGGCTGATTTACCTCAGCCAGTTTGGAACATCTGCAGTTCCATTCTTTTCAAGATATTATGCCTGAAAATTTGTGACAAATGAACTGGGTTAAAATTTTTTAATCGACACCCGGCCCAAATATTTAGGAAGTATACTAGTGGGTTAATTTCTAACTTACCATAATTATTTTCGGCATCCTGAAGGCGTCACTTCAGGGTCTTTTCATAGTGGATTTACCTCGCCCACACAGGTGCAACCACACTGAAATGTTTGCAAAGTTTCAGGCAGGGTAATTAAACGTCTGCAGTTTCTCTCGAACACCGCTGTCACAAATTTTGTCTTTTTTGTCATTTTGGGCTGTTTATAGGTGGTTTGGGGGCAGGGTCAATTACAATCCTCGCACATGTTTACCTGAGCGTCAAAGGCTTGAGCTCGGATGAGACTATACTCCTTTTCATACTTAAGGTGCAACGCTGTCAAAGCTACTGGCGCGAGCGTGGGGCTTGGTCTTGTTGATCATTTGCACGCCTTCTCGCACAAACAAAACCGTAGATGAAGCCACGCACTCGCGCCAGTAGCTTTGACAGCATTGCACGCTAAGTATGAAAAAGTATAATGCCGGCCGAGCTTCAAACCATTGGGAAGAGGAAGACAAGCGTTTCGGGTTGACCAACCACGAACCTGTGACAACCGCATAGGTCATTCAACAGACGTTTCATACCGCTTAAACACTGTGTCGAACTGCATCTTGAAGTCAGTCCCAATTCCAACGGTGTATGAACAGGGGCATTAATTTCGTGGCATGCCTTGAAATGAATCTAAGTGACGCAAGCTGGGAACACACTGCTGCTGCTTCATTTGGGAATAACTGCGGCCCTCGGCTTGATCACATCACAATTGCAAAATGAAAGAGAAAAAAAAGAGGAAAAAGGAACAACTGCTTTATCAAAAGTTCTAACCGACAAATATAAACCCAGTTCAATTCTAGAAAGCCAGGGGACCGAAGTTTGTCCTAACAGTACAATTTAGTCCACTTCCATAACTTCAAAACAAAAGATGGATATCCTCTTCAACCATTTTGACTGAAAAGGAATATTGTCTCTGCATGAACCGAATTCCAAGGAAGTCTGACTTCGGAAATATAATGAAGTATTGTCAATGTAATCAATTTATAGTTGAAAGACATCAGTACACTGCTAGACCAATAAGACATTTCCTAAAGCAACGGACCGAAAGTAGCATTAGGAATTCAATACGTGCTCTGTTGACATGAGCTACACTTTCTCGGACCATACACAGAATGAGTGGCAACTTTTCATTACGCTACACATAGATACAAACATTAGGACAGATAAAGCAAACCCAACTAGTTAAAAAAAGAAAAAAAAAAACATTCTAGCTTAACGAGAAAATAGGGAGTTTTAGAATATCGGGCGCTACTTTACCGCGCGTTACGGACGGCAAAATAGCGAGGATTGCGGCGAAGAATTTTAGAATAGCGTTTCTCTGAAGGGGACCCCCCCAAACGCAAGCATCTCGCGCTTAAAACGCCACCAATATGTCGCGGCAGCTTTTATTTGAAAGTTAGAACGGTTTATCTTGAAAATTAAACAAGCTTT